ACCGGCTGTTGGGCGCCGGCCAAATCGACCGCAGCGAGGCAGGCCCCACGCCGGTCCGGGCTCGCCCGGCGCCGGAGGCTCGGGAGCCGGCGCGCCGGCCTGACGACCCCGTCAGGCGCTGGGGTCCGCGGGCGCCGTGCGCCGTCCTGCCTAGGCACGAAGTCAAAATAGAAACGGTTCGTGAAGTGGGAAACGATACATAAACGATAACCTCTTACCCGCTTCATTGTAAAGCGGGTAACGATAGAGAGTCACTAGCTAAATGGCTGGTGGTTTGATGAACGCCACTCCTGGGTGATGTTTTCTAACAATAGAGAGCTTTAAGGATTACACTCAATTGTGGCTGGTGGTTGAGTCATTAGAGCTGTTTATCAACAGCTGGGACCCCAACCCATTGATATGTCAACAATTTGGGGTTGGGGCTTGGGGATAGGTTTGTACTACCGTTTACATGGATAAGGATTTTTTCTTTCAGTTTGCCACGCTACCCTTACCAACATTAGTCGACTTTTCTTATTTCACTTTTTAGATCGATTTTAAAGTCCTGTGATTGTTGCATCTGTAATGTTCTCCATTTAGTTTATTGTCTATTCCAATTATTGACAAATCTGTGATGTGGAAATCACTGCCTGACTGTGCTAGATTTTGGGAAAGAAAACTACAGATCTTCATTCAGTGACACGAGACTTAGTGATGCACATAGTCCTGTTGACTCTGATGGATTTAGTCTTTTGTTAAGAGATTAATTGCTTCCCCTTCTGAATAAACTGTGCTAAGCCTGTGGATGAACTGGCCCAATTTACACAACAAAGCCGATGCACAATAACCATTCGTGGTAAGCTGGGAGTCCGGGCCTTTGTACCAAGGTGGGGGAAATAGTGGTATGCATCAAAGAGGTTGCTGCACAGCCAACTCCTTTTTGGGAAACGCTCTCTTGCAATCATTGCCCACTTGCAGTTGAAACGGGCAATGGTTTTGAAAGGGGATTAAGGGCAATCATTTCCCGCTTGGTGAACTGTTTCTATTTTGACTTGGCGCCTTAAGGGGCAGGATTCCTGGAATCAGCTGGTCCGGAGCTAGGGGCTGCGGCCCTGTAGAGCGCCGCGTCCCCGGCGGCGTCCTGCCAGCTCCGGCCGGCCCTTGAAAATGCAGGGGAGTGCATGGACCGTCGGCTCGGGTCATACCCATAACTGCAGCCGGTCTCCGAGGTGAACAGCCTCTGGTCGATAGAACAATGTAGGTAAGGGAAGTCGGCAAGCCGGATCCGTTACTTCGGGAGAAGGATTGGCTCTGAGGG